GCCCCCGCGCGCAGGCGCAGGTCGGGCGCGAGCCGCAGCTGCTGCTCAACTACGGGGGCGGCCGCAGCAAGGGCGGCGCGCAGCTCAACAACCACAGGGCCAAGGAGGGTGAGCCGGGCCGCTCCTTTCTCGCTCCCGCGGCGGGCTGCGGATTCAGCACGAGCTTGGGGGCAGCGCGCCGCCCCCCTCGTCCAGACATCGCCCCTAATGCCCCCAACGCTTGATTGCGACACCGCCCCACCCCTTGCTGTGGGCTGGGTCGGACGCTTTTGACCCCGACCTCGTTCCTCGCGGCGCCCTCCTGTATTCGTGTTGCCTTGGACCCTTTTGATCCGGCCCTCCTGCCTTGTGGCCGTACCCTGCCGTACATGGGCCATGCGTGCGTGCGTCATCCCCCCAGGCGTGCGGCTGCACGTGACGCCGGGGTTCGACCCTCTGGCCTACAACGGGCGCATCATCGAGTGCAGCTACAACAGAGAGGTGCGTCACCCGGGTGACGCGTGTGCTTGTGGTGGTCGCCCACGCGTCCGTGATGAATGGCAGGCAGTGTTAGCCGGCGCGTTGCTGTGGCGTGCTCTTGCACGCACGAGCGTGCACACACACACTCGCATGCACGCACGCAGGCACACACGCAATACGCACGAATGCACACGGACACTTACACACATAAGCACATGCACATGCACATGCACACCTACAAAATCACATGCACATCCACAAGCTTTCCCGTCTACAAACAAATCCAAAACCGCGAAAACCCCACTCCCTCCCCTGACGCCCCCCCCCCTGCATCCAGGAGCGTGCGTGGGAGTTCATGCGCGAGCGGGGCGACAAGCAGACAGCCAATTTCATTTCAGTGTTTGAGAAGGTGGTCAAGTCCATCGAAGACGACCTGCAGGTCTGTGATGAGTGAGGGGTCCAACGCACGCACACATGCGCACACGCCTTCCTGTGTGATTATTGAGGCCCGTGCGCCACAGTGCGCCCCCCATACAATCTTGACCCCCTCCTCCCCTTTGCTTCATGCGTCTTTCGTCCACACTTCAAACCCTGGTTGTTGAGTAATCTCCTTCAAACCCCAGAAACTCCAATCCCTGTAACCCCCAAAACCCCCAAACCCCATGCCCACCTGACCCCCAGGAGTCTGACCTGCTGGCGACCTTTGAGGCGGCGTACAGGGAGCGGCCCGAGCTCTACGATGAGGACATCAGGGCCCAGCAGGTGGGGTGGGGTCAACAAGTCAGCGCAGCCACAAAAGTAAGGACGGCCAAGAAAGTCAGGGCAGACAAGAAATTCAGGGCAGCCAAGAAAGTCAGGGCACCCACAGAATGTTTCCTGGATGCTTTTCCGAACGCTTTTGCAAATGGGTTTTTTGATTGATGTTCTTGGCGAAGAGGGGTGACTCCGCTCTGTGATGCGCCTTGCCCGTCTGGGCTGCGCCTGGAGGGCGGGAGGGGGATTGATGTGCATGTCTCTGGTTTTGGGGCCGCTTGCTTCTGCTGGCGCCAGCTGTGGGTCATGCACTTTGCTGAGAGCGGATTGTTGCTGTCCAACTCACGCGGATGGGTCTGATCAATACAAACTTCGGCACCGCAGGGCCTGCCGCCGCAGCCGCGGCGGTTCCTGCAGCCGCAGCACCACCACCACCACCATCACCACCATCATCAGCAGCAGCAGCAGCGGCCGCCGCCGCCCGGCCACTGGCAGCAGCAGCATCAAGCCGCCCCCTTCGGCGGCCAGCCCCAGCAGCAGCACTTTGATCACTACCAGCAGCAGCAGCAGCGGGCCGCCGCGTGGCAAGGCGGTGGCGGCGGGCGGCAAGGGGACGGGTTTGCGCCGCCGCCGCACCATCACCATCACCAGCAGCAGCAACAGCAGCAGCAGCGGTATGGCAGGCCGCCGAACGCGGCGCTGGACAGGCCAGACCCTGCAGGTGCGACCCAGACTGCTCCGCTCTGCCGGCCCCCCGCCAAGGTTGACTGCCCAGCTTGCGCACCGTGTGCTGCCGTGCTGTGGTTGCTGTGAATGCCCGACCCCGGCCTGACAGCGTGCCTGCACCCCCTGTCATTCCGCCCACCCCTCACCC